GGCTGTGGATCCAATGGGTTCCTGGGCTTTGCATGTCTTCTTAAATAATGCATTAGGGTAATGGTGTCTGAAAATGAAGGCTTCAGTAAACCAAGTGACTAGAACAATGGTAGTTGCATTTCTACTTATGAGGGGTGTGCAGGACAGGGGTTCACTGTGAGACTACATAGAAGGGACAGGATCACTAACCATTACCTTTTAAGCAAGTTGGAACCAACTGCCCTACCACTTTAGCCAGTAACCTCCTTTATCAGTCGTTTCTCCACAGGACCTAATGGAGAGGATAGTGTGGAAGGATTAGAAGTTACTGCTAGCCGAAGCTTCTTTAGAGAGACTTTCCCTCATGTCCTGTCCTGCTGGTTATAGTTTTATCAGACAGGAAGTGAAGGAAGATCTGTAACAGGAACACCAACACAAGAAGTGGGGCTCAATCTTTCACCGCAGATAAAGTAAAAACCTGATAGGGATTACAACCCTTCCCCACTCTATCCAAAAATTATGAAAATTAGGTTTGGCTGGACATACTTTAATGACTTCTCCCTCAGGTCTTTTGGAGAAACTGCAACACATGCTCAGTGAAGAGAAATGGAGCTGCCCAAGCATTAGTAAGACAGAAGGACATTTCTATTGGGAGGGTAAGTGGCACAGTTGGCCACAGCTTGTTATAAAGGTGAAAAGCTGTGATTTAAAGCACACCTCTACCCAAGACTGTTGTCAGTTTTAGCAAGTTCAACCACATAATTATTTTTTTATCATATATATTCGGAACACTTGTGATAAGATTATCAGTAGATTCAATGCTATAGCCCCTGCAAGCCAAATAATGGGTTCTCCATAATATAGAACAAATGGGAGTCTGGCTGCAAGGAAGTAAACCCTTTAAAATAATCTGTCACTGCACATTGAAAACGGAGAGGGTGATACCGAATGACCCTCTCCCATGCTTTCCACCTTGACACTCAATTCATCTGGAACACTGTCACTTGAGGAGGAGAAATTACCATTACTTGATGTAGGCCCCTTAGAAAGATGGGGTGGTGGGGGAATGTAGAGAAGATGGGGTGGTGGGGGAAGGAAGAGAAGGAGTGGTGGGGGAATGTGGATGTGGTGGGTGGCCTGTTAAACCTGTTCCCTTACTATGGATGGGCAAAGTGACATATTTTCTGTATGTATGTATGTACATCCAAAAGAGGTGAAGGCAAAGTACTGCACTCAAATCTGACAGTTAGAATATCTGAGATATACAAAGCCTGCATACAGCATTTTTCTAGCATGTTCAAGTGGTTTCACCTCCCATTATATACTAGGGGAAATGCTAACAAGAACACTCACAATGTGCCCATAAACACTTGTTGCAAGTGCTTAAAAGCATTTCCTGTGCCCCTAAAAAACGATTTTACGTGAAACATGCCTGGGAAATGTACATTACATTTCTGTAAGCCGCTGCAAGGCACTTTGCAAGTATTCATAAATGCCTGTGTGTAAAATTGCTAAGAAATACCTGTCATGTTATTGCTGGTATGAATGGATGCAATGGATTGTTCTGCTCTCCAATGTCTGAGAAATCTGCTCAAATGAAGGGACTCTAAAAAGATCTGTCAGGATAGGTATATTGGAGCCGATCTTGCAGACTTGTTTTTAAAGGTAGGCGCTCTAATCCGTACTATTTCAATACAGTGCAGCCAGTAATGGAGAACCTGATCTATGCTTACTTCTGCTCGTTTACAGAAGCAATAATGATGGCAGCCCTGTTGCTTCTAGCATCCAAAACAAGTTGGCAGTGGCAGCTCCCATGTGTCTGCTGACAAGTTTTTCGTTGTATTTTTTTAATGCACTGGACCAGTAACTGCTTTTGACCTGTCTTAAAAACAATGTGGGTCTTACTCCTCAGCAGAATAGAATATTGGATCACAGCTAAGCAAGAATAGTATTAGCAGTGTGTGGTGTTGCCCAAGCTTTAGCAGTATTTCCAAAGGGCTTCTGAGAAACTGAAGTACACAATGTTTTCAGGGAATGTGCTAAATCTGCACACTACATTATCCTTGCGGCTGACAAGTCATAACATGGATTGTGCTAATGATGTGTCAGTCCACACTGTTAAGTATATATCTGGTTAGCTTTGTGCCTTTCATAGAATGAAAGACAGAGGATGGGACATTGCTGTTTATTATACACAACATTCTAATGCTTAGCCATTTGTTTGCATCTTGTTCCTAATGTCTTTTTTTGCTGAGACATGATTGAAATATGAGGGACTAAATATTTATTTTCCAGGGCTTGGAAAGGTGTCAGTTCACTTACCTTTCTTCACCACAAGTCCTCTACTGCATTGAAACGAATTACTCTGAATTCCCTGTAAACTTGCATCTCCACAATAAAACACCTTAAAGCTGCAGCAGCTATCTTAAGCCCACCTTCATTTCTTGTCTGTACAACCTCCATCATTCATCGATCACTTCTGCCCCTGATGTGTACTGCCACAGGCCCCCTCTCATACCTATTCGCTTTCTCTGCTATCAGCCATTTTGTTCCTGAGCTTTATGTGAAAGAACACATCCCTGGCATCCCTTTAGATGTGCCTGCAACCATTAAACTAATCAGCGGACTGCACAGCTAAAGTATGCAGCACCCAGTGGCCAACAGGGAGAAGCAAACACATATAAAGAGATCCTAGAGATGTTGTCTTAAAAGATCTGGTGCAGAATGCTGTGACATTTACACAGGCCTGTCAACCTTTTTCACCAAACCCGGAGCAAAGAGCAGCAAAGTGATGATGTCACTGGGTCTCAAAACTGATATGATTTGATTGAAAAAATAAACTAAAGTGCATGTTGATCAGATGGGGAAGGCGGAACAAAGGAAGGTATTCTATGTGTACACCAGTGCGGTACCTTTGCTTCCTGGTGAGGCATCTCCCAGCACGCCCTGCCCATACCCAGATGAAGCTCCACCCCCATCCTGACGGAGCCCCGGCTAGTGTGAAGGAGAAAGGGAGGAGACGGAGGAGCCTCCCTGTCCCTCACTTGCTCGTTACTGCTGAGGCATCGAGATCGATGACCTCAGTGTTTTGTTTTTGGACAGCTTGGACCAATTGTGCTTTGCCTTTAGTCCACCAAACCATCCACAGAGAGAGCTCACACCTCTAACAAAGAGTAGAGTCTGTGACAGCTCTGGCCTCGCTAGTTGGGTTACACAAGCAAGGGGGAAGGGCACTGCTGTGTAACCTAACTACCTGTCAAAAGCCGGATGTAATTAACAGGCAGCACTCCATCCATGACAGGTTACACAGTGGGGAGGCTTTACTGGCTGTGTTACCTGTTACAAGCCGATCTGAATGGAGAAAAAGCTGTCAGCTTCAGCCCTGAAACTGACGGCTTTTTCCTCCATTAGGACAGGTTCACACCATTTTCTGGACCAGATCTGGTCCGGAAAATGGTGTGAACTTGCCCCCAGTTACACTGCATTCCAGACCAGACAAAATGAGAAGTGTACTATTTTTCTGGTATGGAACGGACTGCGCTGGTATGAACAGAAGCCAGAAATGGCATAGGGATACATTAGGATGCATTTTGGTCCTGGAAACAATTTGGTCTGGTCTGGAGATGATCTGGATGTTGTGTGAAAGGGCCCCAATACTAGGTGAGGCTCTGCCTCCCCTGACTGCACGTCCCTGGTGTACACTGCACTTCAGCTTTAAATTGCATATAAGTTTTATGGGATTTTTTTAAATTTAATAAGGCCCTGAAAAGACTAGTGATCAAGTAATTCTTAGCAGCCAATTAGATTTCAGTTTAATGTTTGCAATGCAATATACCAAACTATGTACATCCCCGCTTTTCTTGAATTGTCTATTTAATTTCTACAATAATCACAGCCTGGTTGACATCAGTGCAGACCCATACTGAAAGGGGTTACTACATTTTTAATGCACTTGCAGCAACAATGCCATTCACACTAGTCTTACTTTGTCATAACGCTACACATCACTATACTAGCCTTTATTAGTCTGCTGCCTGATTTCCAGGAAAGGGTCAGGGTTTAATAACATTCTCTCTACGTGTCTCTGGCTTTGAACACAATTTAACTTACAGTAAAGTCTCTTGGAATAATTACTATCTGCTATATTGTACTGACACGTAGGTTATTTTAAAAGACGTACATTGGAAATACAAAGCTAGTCCTGTAACATTTAGTACGTTATGATGGGTGGCAATGTGCCGCAAGAAGCAATTATGAGCAAGTCTCTTTACAACAATGCTTTCATAGCGTCGCAGGAAATTATTGAGTGTAAAAAGAGACGCAGTATGGAAGTTGGGTATGTGCTGACATAATACCTTAAAGGAAATATGTACCGATGTATGCGTTGGCTGCCAGTGCTGACCTCACCATTTAGAAATGCCAGTTTCTTGGCTGTCATGCTGATCTAATGTTTTCAGTACATTATGAATTCAACCGAAAACAAGTATGCACATAAGTAGTTCTGATTTCACTGGCTGCAGCTAGCTTGTCCCAGGTCAGCAACTGCCCGAGACCACCATGCAGGTAGCATTTTTACAACATTGGCAGTGTCAACCTATGTATTTTTGATAACCAAATAATTAAAGTCTCCTTGTGTTATATGAAGTAACCCTTACATTTGCAGCGAAAGAACAACATAGCCAATCTGCTACCAGTTTTTCTTGGCTTTTTAGACCCCTGTTATGAGATGCTCTTAGCACTGGGAACGTCTTGGTGTGTAGAGACTCCACAGAACTATGAGTCAGCTAATCACTCGGGAAGAGAGCCAGAGAAATGACTAAAAAGATTGGCGGCAGTTACTGTTCTGGCCTGCTGATGGGTCGTATGTCTCTGCATGGGAACTGTACTTGCTGTAGCTGACAGTTTTCTTTAGCGAATAGTTTTTGTAGTCCGTGTATGAATGCTGGCACTGAGCCTTGTCTGGCTGCTAGATATATCCTGTATGCAATGTCATCGCTAATGCTCAATTTTCTGTGTTTCAGTGGAGCTGCCACAAGTGGCGGAGAGAATGACGGAGATGAGCTTGACCAAGACTGGAAGCCTCCAGACCCAGAGCTTATCCAGAAACTTGTTGTACAGATTGAGTACTACCTCTCTGACGAGAACCTGGAGAAAGACGCATTTCTGCTGAAACATGTCAGAAGAAACAAAATGGGATTTGTCAGTGTTAAATTGCTTACCTCCTTCAAAAAGGTTTGTAATGTTTTTCTCTACATAGTTTGTACTTCTCTGAAGAGCCATTGACGTTAATAGTAGATACAGGTGGACTGTGTAATGAATCCAGTTTTTTTTTTACAAGAAAGTATATTTGAACTAAAGCTTACAGTTAATTTCTAAGGTCAGAGTTGTTCCTTATTACAGTTAATTTCTAAGGTCAGAGTTGTTCCTTATTGCCCCATCTGCCAGAGCAGCAGTTGTCTCCTTTGCTTCTTCCACTTCCCTTTGTTCTCCTTTCTGCCATTGAGTGGCCACTTGTGATATAACCTCTGCAGTTCTGTACATCTTAATGCTTAAGAAGTCTCACAGTGGTGGTGAGATGTTTGTTTCAAGACCACAACTATTACATCACTATGTGAATTAACTCTGCTCTTTTGAATATTACGGGACATAAATTGATAATTGGAGATGCAAACACAATATTTTCTGCCAGTTGTCAGAGACAATAGGCATAACCGTATGGATGCTGTCTGCTCTGAGGTAGAAAAACTTGTTTTCCAGGATTAGTATGTTGCCCTATTGACAGTGTCTGTCTGATTTTATAGTCCAGGCCAATTACCATTATGGTTGTCACGATGGGGAGCAGGCACAGTGGTATAGTACATTCTAGATTTCAATGCTTTCTGTAACCTAAGAATTTCCAAACTGAGAATGTTACTCTGTACTTAACACACGAGTATGCCATCAATAGCCTGACGCATTATGCTTCATAGAAATGGGTTGAAAATGCCTTCAAAACATCCTATTTTTCACATTGTAGAGGTTTAAACTTGAGGGCTTAATTGTCTATATGCCTTCTCATTAAGGAATTGGTAATATCACACCCATGGGATTAGCTAGCATGGTGAACAGAATATAAATGTGCAGTTTCTGATTGAGCATAGATGAGTGGGAGAAAATCTCAGCATGGCTGGTAAGATATAGTAAAACATATGGAAGAGGATTTATGAAATATTCTAGCTTTTCATTAGCAATGGTTCTAGAAACTGGCACTAGAGGAAAATCAAAGTCCACGGACTGGAGTGATTGTGTCTGCATGTGTTTGGATAGGCCCAGGAGTTCTGCAGGCCAATAAAGAAGTATGGTGAGGTTTGGGAGAGAGGCTTAAAAGGTAGAGTGTTGGGTTGGAGGCAGCCCTGAGAGCAGAGGAGCCTAGTGTAGACACCCCTAGGATAGTAAATAGCCCTTAGCTGAAATCCTTCCCGAGTCCCTGGAATTTCAATCTGGCCCCTGCTAATGGGTAACCAATGCTTGTTGGAACTGGCGGGCAGTTCTTGGACACAGTTCTTGCCGACACATCTGTACTAGAGGTGTTGCTTTACTCATGCAAGTAAAGTGGCAATGAATAGCTGACAGGTAGGCATATAGAATTAAATGTGCAGTAATATTATCTGCACTTTGCTGCATTGGATCTGTTGAAGCTTTTGTGTTAGAGAAAATGAGACGCATTTGTTAAGAACTGTACCATACTGTAACCTCAACACTTTTATAGCTGGACTTCACCTGATCCAAAACATTATGTAAACATTTTATTTAATTGCATAAGGGTTCTCATGTATTCGTCTATAGTTGGATGCCCTTTTACAAACCAGCACCTCGATGGTCTAAATAATGACGTATTTGACAAATACAGCAGGTGCCGACTCAAGTTGTAGGATTTGTGCAGGACATTATGAAGACAATGATATAGACTTATCATTGAGTTGGTTCACTGAGAATAGTTGCAAATTGCTGATTGAGTATAGTACCTGCAGGTACATACCTGATGTAGTAAACGTGTAAATGGTTAGAAATGGGGATTTATGGGGACCAAAAGATTTTTGCAGAAATGCAGGCAAATGTATAAATTAGATCAGTGGTCTGGGTATATCAGATTTAGCCCTGCCCGGTTAGTAGAATATGACGCTGTGGATTCTTAAAGCATACTGTATATCAACTGACTTTTACTCAAGTAGCTGTGTAAATCCACCAACATCTCTGGAGCCAAATAAATTGTTAGATTAAAGCGAATGCATATTTTCCTTATTATGGTCAGCTCTAAAAAGTTATTTCCTTGGGTAAATATGAAATATTGCATGTTTTATGTTCCCCTTTAAGGCCGGCATGTGAAGCTCTAGTTTCCTTTTTCAAGGTTAGCTTTATAGAACTCAATGAGTCATCCCTCATCTGACAGCTAAGTAGTTGGTTTTAATCAATGTATATTATAAAACAGATAAAAAGTTTAAAAACTTATCTTAAAGGCCAACTGATTTTTTTTGTTCGGTTGCTGAGAAGGACCCTTGCTCTCAGTGTGACAGCAGTGATCGTTCTGACATTCTCACTGCTGCATCGGATTTACAGCTCTCCAATCAGTAAGGAACATGAGCTTTGCGAATTGCCCAGCTCTAGCTCTGCCTTGGCTGGAAGGGATGTCCTACCCCTGGAAAGAGACCACTGCTTGCAGACAAAGAACAAGAGATCTTCTCTAAAGCATGCTGGCAAGGAGCAGGCTTTTTTACTGTGGCTGTTTTACAAAGAGAGCTGAACTGTGAGGCTGTCCATCTTTTGTTTTGAGGCACCTCTTATGCATTTGGTTTAAAGTTAAAAAAGGACTACCAAATAAACAAACGTACCCTTGCAGTGGGGCAACCCCCGCTTTACAAGGTTTAAGTGTTCATTTTGTCTAGGGTACCTAAATGAAGCAGATTTACTTACCTGATCCTCAGTATTGCTGGCTCCCTCCAGTCTTCTAGACTGGTCCCTGCAGCCTCTTCTCCCCTGGGCTCTGGCTGCCTAAGGACTGCTGATGTACATTATCTACACTTTAGATGTAAGGACACAGAGGGACTTTCCATAACTGGAGGGGGAGAAAGGTGAGTGCTGACTGCCATGGAACCGAGAATCAGGTGAGTAAAACTGATTACCTGAACCCCTAGGCAAAACAAGCACTTAACCCTTGCAGTGAGGGGGGTAGCATTCTCTTCATTTTTTTCCTGAATATAATAGATCAATTTTGTACTGCAAATGTAATAGATATTTTTTCTTTCCCTTCACAGGTAAAACATCTCACTCGAGACTGGAGGACAACTGCATATGCTCTAAGATATTCAGACATACTTGAACTAAATGAAGATAACCGGAAAGTCAGGAGAAAAACTCCTGTTCCTGTTTTTCCAAGTGAAAACCTACCTAGCAAGATGCTTTTGGTCTATGACCTCCACTGTATTCCAGAACTGCACTGCTTGAATAAGGAGCAAGAGAATGGGGGTATGCAAGAGAAGATAATGGAGCAGCTCCTGAAGAGCTTTGGGGCTTTTGGAAGCATTTCCTCTATACGCATCTTAAAACCTGGCAGAGATCTTCCATCAGATGTGAAAAGATTCAGCAGCCGATATGCTCAGGTTGGAACAATGGATTGTGCAATTGTAGAATTTGAAGAGGTTGAAGCTGCTATTAAGGCGCATGAAACCTTAAATGCTGAAAGTGAAACGGAAGAAAGCATAAAGGTGGTTCTAATAGGTATGAAGCCACCAAAGAAAAAAATTCAGAAAGAACGAAGCAAGGATGACGACGCAAAGAATCTACGCAAAAATAAGTCTCTTAATAAAAGGGTTGAGGAGCTTCAGTATGTTGGGGATGAGTCCACAGCATATAGTTCATCTGAGCCCGATAGCAATCCAAACTCCCCAATGATAGGCCGAAAGATTCAGTCTACCAATAAGCTAAGCCCCTCTGCTTATCCAAATAATCACCTGAGTCCAAACGCCTCACCCAGAAATAGCCCCTGGAGTAGCCCTTGTGGGCAACGTAAAGGAGTCAAGCATTCTCCTCTGGCTGAAAGCATGAGCCCTGAGACTTCCAGAAGATCTACAGAGTATTCTTCAGACAGCAGCATCACTCCATCCAGCAGTCCTTGGGTCCAGCGGAGAAGACAAGCTCAAACAGTCACACAGGAAAAAAGCCCAGCGTGTAGTCCCATGTTAGGAAGAAAAATACAGAATGCAGATGGACTTCCCCCTGGAGTCCTGAGGCTTCCAAGAGGTCCTGATGGTACAAAAGGGTTCCATAATGGGACTGAAAGGAATAAGCTTTTTGCAGAGTGAATGCCATGTAACCTTATTAAACTGGCAGTGCCACCATTGAGCACCAAGCATCCTGTTATTAAACTGCCCTGCAGACAATGTTTGGGGAGCCTCCAGTAGCCAAAGGCTGGACTTTGCTTCTACCTGAAAAGAGAGAGGTTTGCAGAAAGACTGATACGAAGTCTGTATTTATTATTTTTTTATCTGATTTTCATTTGTAAACCTACTTTGTACAGTGACGGCAGTTACACTGCTTTATATTTTTATTTGTATTTTTTAGTTTTTGTTAAGCACTTTTAATTTCTATTTTCTTCTCACTGGGTAACTGAAGCAATTGCTGTGCATATGATGCTTGTCTGTAAAAGGTCATCAAAGCAACAGGTTGCATTCTCTCCAAAGCCTATTGGCAGCTAGGACTAGTTAATCCAATAGGATGTTCTAAACCTTCTGCAATGTTCATCTTACACTTCCAAAGACAGATGTGTATAAAGAATGTATATTTTCTGTGATGTGAATTAAAATGAACTTCCATAAGCATTACAAAAATTAACAGCTCTCGCTTACTGATTTGTAATGACTTGATGTGCCAGATTTGAAGAAGTCATTGAATGTTGAACGTGTATTTGTTGAATGCATATTCATGCAGCCATCCTGGTTAATGAGCAAGTACTCCATTAATTCCCTATTGAAAAAATAATTTACTGATTTTGTGCTTTGCATTGCAGGGATGAAGCTAATCCATGAATCTTTAAAACACAGTTAAGGGAAATCTTTCTAATGGAAACACAAATAGCAATAAAAATATACCCTTTTCAGTAGCATGGAACAACATTAAATCCTTTGTCCAATGTGTTTGCTGCCGGCATTCCCAATGAGTTTTTCCCCTCATTAGTTGTGACAAATTATATGCCTGATGGTGATAATGTCATAGAAGGGGAAATGAAGGAGGAATTTCCCTATTGGGTGGACACAGGAAGAAATATGGAAGTGACAAATGTCTGAAGATTCACCACTTCATCCAGGGTAACTACAACTGGCCTATAAGAGGTTTTCTCGGCAAAGCAGAAGTTGCCCACTTTCTGGCAATAGACTGTTTGCCATGCATTTGTCCTACTTTATTTAGATGTGAGGTACATTATTAAGTTTAATAAGCTGTGCTACCTCCACTTGGTTGGCTGTTATTTTGATAAAAAGGCCTCGATACTTTGCATATGCAGATCAGGACTTCTGGCTTTTCCGATTGTCTTCGCTAGCTTCATGCTTATTTAGGTCAGGGATTCAATGGGGGGAATTTATCAACACTGGAGCAAACAGAATCTGGAGCAGTTGCCCATGGCAACCAATCAGCATCTCTTTTCAGTAAGCTCAGGTAAGATTTAAAATGAGAGAGAGAGAAGCTGATTGGCTGCAGTGCAAACCTGCTTCAGATTTTGTCTGCTCCAGTTTTGATAAATTCCCTGTAATGTATTTAGACTAGAAACCGTTTTCTTTAGAAAATAGCCATGGCTTGAGTAGAAAAGCCAGTCACCTGCCACCATGCAGTAGAGAAGTCTTGCACTGTGGTCTCACTGCAGAGGTCCTTCATACTTGCTGCTAAGTTGGACCTAAAGTTCTGCAATCAGCAAATCTTGTGCTCCCTGTTGATTGGAGACTGTAAGACATTGCACGCCTTTTTATTTTGATGCACCTGGAATGTATAGAGCCGATTTAAACTGAAGTATAACTAGTATTGAGTATTCTTTGTGTGTAAAGCTTACCACACACACTACCATTTTGAATGTACAATCTCCTTTAGATCTTCCAACTAGAAGTGGCTTACAAAACCATTCACCCCCTTGGCATTTTTCCTATTTTGTTTTTATTGGTTTGTATCATTTGAATTACACAACATGCCTACCACTTTGAAGATGCCAATTAGTTTTATTGTGATACAAAGAAGAAATAAGACAACAAAAACCCTGAAAACTTGAGTATGCATAACGTTCCACCATGCCCCCTCCCCCAAAGTCAATATTTTGTAGAGCCACACCTTTTGCAGCAATTACAGCTGCAAGTCTCTTGGTATACGTCTCTATAAGCATGGCATATCTAGCCACTGGTATTTGTTCCCCTTCCTTAGGGCAAAACTGCTCCAGCTCCTTGAAGTTGTATGTGTTTCACTGGTGTAAAGCAATATTTAAGTCATGCCACAGATTCTCAATAAGATTGAGGACTGGGCCATTCCGAGACATTTAAATGTTTTCCCTTAAATCACTCAAGTGTTGCTTTAGCAGTATGCTTAGGGTCATTGTCCTGCTGGAAGGTGAACCTCCGTCCCAGTCTCAAATCTCTGGCAGACGAACAGGTTTCCCTCAAGAATTTCCCTGTATTTAGCGCCATCCATCATTCCTTCAATTCTGACCAGTTTGACAGTCCCTACCAATGAAAAACATCCCCACAGTATGATGCTGCAACCACTATGCTTCACTGTGATGGTGTGCTCGGGGTGAAGGCGTTTTCTTTTGAAGGCCAAAAAGCTGAATTTTAATCTCATCTGACCAGAGTACCTTCTTCCATTTGTTTGGAGTCTCCCACATGCCTTTTGGCAAACAGGAAACATGTTTGCTTATTTTTTTTTCCTGTAAGCAATGGCTTTTTTTCCATGAAGGCCAGCTCTGTGTGGTGTACAGTTTAGAGTGGTCCTAGAGACAGATTCTCCACCGTGGAGCTTTGCAGCTCCCTCGTGGTTATCTTTGGTGCCTCTCTGATTAATGCCCTCCTTGTCTGGTATGTGAGTTTTGGTGGGCGGCCCTCTCTTGGCAGGTTTGTTGTGGTGCCATATTCTTTCCATTTTTTAATAATAGATTTAATGATGCCCTATGAGATGTTCAAGTTTTGGATATTTTTTTCATAACCCATTACTGTACTTCTCCACAACTTTGTCTCTGACCTGTTTGGAGAGCTGCTTGGGCATGCCCCTTCCTCAGTGGTGTTGTACACTCTGGGGCCTTTCAGAACAGGTGTGTGTATCTAATGAGATCATGTGACACTTAGATTGCACACAGGTGGTCTTTAATTATGTGACTTCTGAAGGTAATTGGTTGTACCAGATCTTATGTAGGGGCCTCATAGCAAAGGGGGTGAATACATATGCACATACCACTTTTCTGTTTATTTTTTAAAACCAGTTATTTTCTTGATTTCCCATCACCATTTTGTGGCTATTTTTGTATGTCCATTACATGTAATCCAAATAAAAATAAATTTTAATTCCAGGTGGTATTGCAGCAAAATAGGAAACATGCCAAGGGGGTGAATACTTTTGCAAGCCACTGTATGTAGTTCAAGGGCCAGCCTGACTAGATATAAATTGACGGGTAGTTCAGGTAAGTCTTCATATTACATAGTTTTAGTAGATCTAAGCACTTCTCATTGGTCAGTGTGGACCGATAACATTGCTGGCCAATGAGTACTTGTCCTTGGTGAGCATTTTTGAAATGCAAAGTGCAAGGCTGCACTTTGGTGTACGGGACCGTACACCGACTGCTGTGGGGGGAGGGATGGTGGTCACAGACCGCTTACCTGACTTGGAGGAAGAGTTACACAGTCTGCATCTCTGCTCATTTGCAGTGCTGACACTCACTAGTTCCTTTCAGCGCTCTGAGCGCTGGCCGAAAGGAAGGATTAGTAATATCTACGCAAGCCAAAGGTGCAGACCATACTAATCAACCACTGAACCTCCAGGGAATGTGCCCTCTCCCTGCAAAAAAATTAAAATAAGTAGT